AATGTGTTAAGCATTTAGTAGCGAAAAGGGGTTAGGAATAAGTTGATGAGTAGGTTAGAGTAAGAGATTGAACAGAAGAAGAGGAGCACTATGATAGATTATTGAAGCGTAAAGGGTAAAAATGAGTTAAAGATTAGGATAAATGGACAGAAGGGAATGAAGAGACGGAAAAGGAAATAGAGAAGAAAAGACCATTAGTTGAGGCGAGGTCTGAGATCCAAGCAAACCTCTCTCTGATGATAATAATAACATGAACATCGGTGAAACAACAGCTGTGTTGATCATAGATAACGTGTATTCCAATTTGTATGGATGTAATTTTTTCTTGAACTGTGAAAATTCAGCTGCACTGAAGTTGTTTTATATTTTCTAGAATCTCAATGGATGGACATGAGTATATTTGTTTTTGCCTCGTGATTAGTTAAATTATATTTAATTTCTTAAGTGTTATCAGCACCAGGATTAGTCATGTAGATTATAAAGAGATATTAGTAAAAAAATATCTGTGAAGTTGTACTAGTTATGAAATTTTAAGTAATATTTTTAAATATTTTAATATGCATAATGCCAGGCCATTTTTTATGGCTTTGTGGCAGTTATTCCCATTTTCCTCCTATTAATCTGTATAAATAAATGCTTGTTGGATAAGATAAGATTGGTATATGTACCTAATCAACAATCTGACTTTGATATATATCAGTTTATACACGCACGCACACGCACACGCACACGCACACATACATATATATATACAAGTATGTTCTACATGTTTATTACATATATATTCTGTGTGTGTGTGTGTGTGTGTGTGTGTGTGTGTGTGTGTGTGTGTGTGTGTGTGTGTGTGTGTGTGTGTGTGTGTGTGTGTGTGAGTGAGTGTGTGTGAGTGTGTGTGTGTGTGTGTGTGTGTGTGTGAGTGTGTGTGAGTGTGTGTGTGTGTGTGTGTGTGTGTGTGTGTGTGTGTGTGTGTGTGTGTGTGTGTGTGTGTGTGTGTGTGTCCGTGTGTGTCTGAAAAACTGCCTTCAATTTTTCAGTCTTAAATATAAATCTTATATCAGTTCCTTATCTCAAAAAATATATTTATATGTACATATAACAATAAAATAAGCACTAGTAAACATTTATCTGGTATTAATAAAAACCACAAACCTTTAAAATGCATTTTTATTTAAAATAAACATCTCTTTTCCTATATACATTTAAGAAACATGATACACTTGACATTAAAAAATGCAGACAATATGTCCGATTGTCAGGCAAGACCTTTCTCACGTAACCCACCAAAGTATGCCAGACATACGCTACGATATAGTACACTTACTCGCACACACCTTGTCTGTTATGACTGCTCATTTTCTAGTCAAATGTTTTAACAAATAAGCAGGAGATCCTTATGATATCTATACATTATGACGAGAGAAAATTTGGTTCACCCTTCTGGATCGTCTTTTGCAGATGAAAATAATAAAAAATAAAATATTAATAATAATAATAATTATAATAATAATAATAATAATGATACCATTAGTTATAATCATGATAATATTAATACTACTACTAATAATAATAACAGTAATATTAATAAAAATAATAATTATTATCATAAATATATACATAAATAGTTCATTAAAAGTGAAGAAATATGAAAAAAAAAAAAAAAAAAAAACACTTCACAATAATAATTTTCAAAACACATAGTAAATATTCCCTTTCATCTTCATAAACAAATGTATATTTATGTTATATAAGCCAATTTAGAAAAGATAAATTGATCAAAAGGGTATCCTTAGTCACAATCACTCAGTATTCATATATTGTGAAGATGATGATGATGATGATGATGATAACTAATGATGAGAATAATAACATTAACAAAAATATCATAAAAGTAATAATGATATAAATAATAATAATAAAAATAAGAATGATAACAATAATAATAATAATAATAATAAATAAATACATAATAACAATAATAAACAAATAAAAAAAATGAATAAAAGAACAGATAATGATGCTAGAAATCTTGGCAACATATAGACGAGACAAACGCTTCAAGATAACTTTGGCCGACAAAAGAAAGAAAAAATTGAGAAACAAAAATGCCAAAGTAATGTCAAACAGACTTCCAATAGCTTTTATATCACTAAAGCCTAAACATAAAGATCAATAATGGCATTCATGAATTTAAAAAATGAAACAAAAAAAAAAAATAATAATAATGACAATTATAATAATATTAATAATGATGATAATAATAATAATAATAATAATAATAATAATGATGATAAAATAATAACAATAAAATAATAATAAGAATGGTAATAATAATAATAATAATGATAATAATAATAATAATAATAATGATAATAATAACAAATAATAATAATCATAATATCATACCAATACCCGTTTTGTGGATGGAGTCGTATGACATCAAAAGGTTATTGGTAATTCATCAAACTTCCACAACTTTTCTTCACAAGAGAACATACAGGAGTGAGGGGAAATATGAGAGGAGGTCTGCGTCTTTGTACAAAAGTGGGTTGATACGAGAGGAATCCACTTTCACTGCCAAAAAAAAACACATTAAAAAGAAAAAGAAAAGAAAAAAAAAATTGATAAATGTAAATGATGATAATGATAATAATAACGTGAAGATGAAAAAGATCAGGGGGGGGCGGGGGGTTACAAAAGCGCGAAATACCGGAGAGATGTCATTTATACATAAAAATAAAACAAGTCATTCACTTGCTGATGTCACCTTGACATAGTAATGAGATTAAAGTAAGAACCTCTATTTTAGATTTTGAAAAAATTAAGATCATGTCTTCATTCCTGTTAGATAAAGACTTTTTTTTCTCTCTCTTTTTTTTTTTGCAAAGCTGTGTACCTTAATACAATTTAATAAATATTGGACACCTTGAATTAGACTTTCGGATTACTTAGACATTATAGAGTTGCCTATCTTGCCAAATAACAAATGCACAGATATTGATATACTAGGCTACCAGATGTCACACATCTTTCCATGAAACTGCCTCCAAAAAAGTACAAAAATCACATTGAAAAGAATTTAACTTCACCTTACACCTGAAAAAATAACAAAACTTTGATTGCTGAAAACATTGGTTTCCATGAAATACAACACAGTGTCCTTATATTGCATTGCGAGTGATGAAAACAATAACAAGATTAAAGAAAATAGAACATACCAACCAAGCAGTTGGAAAATACAAAGCAAATGTCCCTCATAAAAATCTTTGATAACGAGTATGAATTCCATGAACCGAGGAAACAAGCCAAAACCCATACGCCGGACAGAAGAGAAAAGATGAAATGAATAAATATAAGGAAAGATATATGACAAGAGATCAGAGGAATAAATGTTAACAAACACTTTTATCAGTTCTAACAGTTCTATGAATATCTGCTGTACTGTTTGCTGACACTAAAGTAAAATCCAGATAACAAGTAGTAGGTTCAAAGTGGTGGAAATTTGTTATTTTTTTCTGTAACACAGGCAATATTTTTGTTTACTAAAATAGAATTAGGTATATTGCTACATGCTCATTTTGTAAAGCTTGCAAATTTTTGGATTATCATATATGCAAATCATATATTCATCATATTTCTCATTGTCAGGTCTCCTACCTTGTTATTCATAATCTCTTTTCCCTTATTTTATTTTCTTTCCTTTTAGACTATTTAAACTTTTTGCCTGTTACCTTTTTAACCTATAATCACCCATTTCAATAGCATAAAAAAAAGCTCCTTCAACACATCAACCTGTGTTACATTCATCCAGCCTAATTTTCATTCACTAAAATGCAAATACACATAAAACACCTCATTCATTTAAATGTGAAATTAAGCCCTGTTTAAGTCCCTCTACATGTGGGAGTCTGTACATCTGTTACAAGTAAAACTAGGCACTCCACTACCCCTACTATTGTACCTCTTAACAACTGGGATAGACCTCTTAAGTAAAATCTCAGATGATGCCGGGCCCTTTCTATTAAGAAGTCTATGTCAAAATGCCTTCATCCAATGAATGATTGTTTCTTTAGATTTATGTAAGACAAAAATCATAGGTAAAAAAGGATCTGTTACATACACCCATGCACTGACACAAAAATTATACATACACGTGCACACAGACACACACATATATACAATGTTACTTTAAAGGCTCTACAATGCCTGAAGATTTCCACCACCGAAACTAATGAAAAAAATAAATGAATAAATAGGTAAATTAATATCAATAGTAAAATATTTAAAAAAAGGAACTCAAAAAAACAATGCTGCTGACAGTAATAATGATAGAAAATAATAATAATAATAATAATAATAATAATAATAATAATAATAATAATAATAATATCAATAATAATAATAATATCAATAATAATAATAATAATAATAATAATAATAATAATAATAATAACCATATTCACAATAGCAATAGTAATAACCATTATCACAATAACGATAATCATCAAAATCACAATATTGAATCACAAAAATCATCATCATCTGACTAGACGTACAGATGCCAACCCCACCTAACTCTTGGTCTGAGACATCCCTAAATTTACCTCCATAATATAATTAGCTGATTTTTTGTTTATCATTTTTAACTCTATGCATATTTCTTATGACTGAGTGCAATCATATGAAATTTCCTTGTTTGCCATAACTTGACTCTTTACATAGCTAAAGCTCTATGTTGATACATGAAAATTGAAGAGCTTGATATAGAAGTATATGACAATAAACATATGTAAATATGTTAGATATGAGGATTTTGTGTATATGTATGTGTAAGAGGCATATGTATATGATATGTATGATATAGATATATATGTGTATGTTTATGTATATGTGTATGTGTATGCATATATAGATATGAAGTGACTACATATATATTTTTCTTATAATTTAATATTCATTAATTTCATAGGACCCTTAGATTTTTTTTCAACAACTCAGAATCATATAATATTAGATTTATAATATTCAATGACTATCAAATAATATGAAGCTCATGACAAAGAAAAGAAAAGAAAAGAAAGTACTGCCCAAGACCAAGCCTTCTCACCAAAGACATTTTTGTTTGTTTGTTTGTTTGCATGTTTTACTGAGAAATAACAGCTTTTCTTTGGATAACAAGAATTATACAGTCTAATGTCTTTTTTTTTCCTGCTTTCATTCCATCAGTCAACAGAAAGAAGACTAGGAATTATGTACATCCTTTTTGTACACATTAAGTCTCAGAAACTAAACCTCAAGCACTCTTGTCCAAAGAAGGAAAAATATCCATGCCAAAAAAAAAAACGATCCCATACCGACTGAAAAATAAAATGATAAAAGGAAAAGAAAAGATCTGTTCCTGAAACTCATTGGAATAATAAAGGAAGAGGCTGTTGGATAATGTAAAACTAGTTCCATGCTTTATCAATTATAATTATGTCAAATAAAGCTAATACAAGTTTTTCATCTCTATATAAAAATAAAATGAAAGATTTTTTTTTCTTTTTTCTTTTTTCTTTTCTGGAGGGAAGGGGGGAGATAATCAAATGAAAACAATAATAAATAATATAAAATGAAACTTTCACTCTGAGAAATTGACATTCACACACTCAAAATATGTATATTACAACTCAAAATATGTATATTACAAAGTCATCATTTCACACTCTAGTTGCACATTACTTTGATATTTCCGTTAAAAATTGGTAGAAAAAACAGCAGCAATCATAATCTCCTAACAAAGTAAAACTTCCAGCTGATAGATATCACTAGAGATTACTTATAACTGTCACTGATAAACTATGAGTTACCGTGAAAATTTGAATCTGAAAATGGCACACTGTATAGAAAATGAAATGATTTCTTCATACCACAGTGATTTCCTCCTTGACAAATAACACTAAATTGTTCCATTACTCTTTCTCTCTCGCCAGATGATATAAACACACCTATGACAATCTGAGCATTCCTGCACTGCCCCAACATTCCAAGCCTTGTATTTGAGGTTTTACTTGTGGAAGAATTGCTTCTTTCTGCCTTGTGTTCAAGGAACTGCACTTTAGCAATGTATCATCATGACCACCAAAGTATAAGCACTGTCTGACACATTTCCACACTACACTTCATCATATGCATATATACATCGGACCGGGCAGAAAGGTTTTCCAGTTTCAAAAGAAAAAAAGAATAAAATAATGAATTGATAATCTTGCTCCAGTTACATCTGGCCATGTAATTTCTTAAAAGATGTTTATTTTACATAGTTACAACACTAACATGAAGTTCACAGGAAGGACTTTTCTGTCCTTGCAACCTGTAAATACGCACACGCATACACATACACCCTTCAGGACGATCACAGTTTTGAGATAGTAACTATTGGCTTATGGTTTCGTCACTTGCTTTTTAAAGTGCTTCCGATCCACTCTAGTCCCTGGTAAAGGCTGAAAGGAAACAAAAAAGACATTAGACAGAATATAAAAAACTGAAGCAGGAAAAAATGCATCTACTTCAAAATAAAGGATATGCTATCTATGCTATTTAAACAATACTGCAGTCATTATTGATCAAACCTGCAATAAGTTGGTTACAATACAATCATATTGGACAACTTTTTACAAGGTAACATTAGAGAGAGAGAAAAAAAAGAGCAGAATCAACTCAGACCCTTACCCTTCTCCTGTTAATGCACAACATCCTTGAATCTGCCACTTATGTTTCTTTATAGAAGTCAGATTTAATAACCGGGAAATCTCTGCTGCACTCATCGAACCTTTTACATCTTGTTTATTTGCGTATATAAGTACTGCCGCTCGTGACAATTCCTCATGAGCTAACATCTTGTACAGCTCTTCTCGGGTGATGCTTAAGCGTTCTCGGTCTGTTGAGTCTATCACCAAGATGACAAACTGAAAAGGTTATTATCCTTATTAGTATAATTCATGAGGAAGATGTATGCTTTACTTAAGGTGATTTACATAGAGACCTTACATAGCAGGCAGTTACACAATTTCACAGTAATTTAGAACAGAATCTCTAAAAAGGTAGCTGAAAAAAACAACAACATTAGACCATAAAGAAAGAAAGACACAGAAACAGCAAAATCTAAAAGTTCAAAAACCACTTCACTTAATCAAAGGGACAAGACCGATATTTTCCCAGCAGAACAAGCATCCTAATGACCGGACACCCATCCCATCCCTTCAAAACAAGCCCTCTCACCCATGGGACACCTAAGATAACCATTCAAGCCTACCTCTGTATTGGTGTAATAGGTGTTCCACGCTGACCGTAGAGATTCCTGTCCTCCAAGATCCCACATGATAAAGTGCAGGTTCTTCCAGACAACCTCTTCCACGTTGCTGCCAATAGTGGGCGAAGTGTGGACAACCTCGTTCATCAGGAGCTGGTACAAGATGGTCGTTTTTCCAGCATTGTCAAGGCCAACCATTACAATTTTATGTT